AGCAATGTTTCAAAATTCTTAACGAGTTCGGAATGAAATTAAATCCCGCTAAATGTTCCTTTGGCGTGCCTTCCGGAAAATTCATGGGGTACATAGTCACGGAAAGAGGGATAGAAGCTAATCCTAATCAGATTAACGTTTTCCTTACTATGCCTTCGCCAAGAAACATAAAGGAGGTCCAACGATTGACAGGCAGAATTGCTGCATTAAATCGTTTCATATCGAAATCTACCGATAGATGTCTCCCCTTTTATCAAATTTTGAAAGGGAACAAAAAATTTTGGTGGGATGATCAATGCGAAGCAGTATTTGGTCAGCTTAAAACTTATCTGACAACACCGCCGATTCTCTCAAAACCTGAATTAGATGAGAAACTTTATCTCTACATTTCAGTTTCTAACCATTCCGTATGTGGGGTTTTAGTTCGAGAGGACCGAGGTGAGCAAAAGCCAATTTTCTACATAAGTAAATCTCTTACTGGTCCAGAAACGAGATATACCATGATGGAGAAATTAGCTTTAGCAGTGGTCGTATCTGCTAGAAAACTCAGACCTTATTTCCAATCTCATCCTATAGAAGTACTAACTTCCCATCCACTTCCCTCAATTCTTCACGGGCTAAGTAAGTCCGGAAGGTTAGCAAAATGGGCAATCGAACTCAGTGAGTACGACATAGAATATAAAAGTCGAACTAGCTTAAAAGCACAAGTTCTGGCTGATTTTCTAACCGAACTACCATTAGATGATGGAATCTTTGTTCAAATGGACTCTACGTGGAAATTACATGTAGATGGATCTTCTTCTAAACAAGGATCCGGAATCGGCATTAGGCTCGAAACTCCGACAAAGGAAATAATTGAGCAGTCATTTCGGTTAATGTTTCCAGCTTCGAACAATGAAGCAGAGTACGAAGCTCTCTTAGCAGGACTTCGGCTTGCTCTTGCGATCGGAGCAGAAAAAATAATAGCTCATTGCGATTCTCAGCTAGTTGTAAACCAGTTCGCTGGAGATTACGAAGCTAAGGCTCCTCGAATGAAAGCTTATCTTTCGGCTGTCAAAAAGTTAGCCGGAAAATTCAAAGAATTCGAATTAGTTCGAATACCTAGAGGAGAAAACACTTCGGCAGACGCTTTAGCTGGCCTAGCTTCTACCTCAGATCCTGAACTCAAACGAGTTATCCCAGTTGAATGTATTTCTTCACAAAGTATTTCGGTTGAAGAAACAGAAAACGATAACATTTCGGAGGCCGAATACATCAAAACTCCAGAACAAAGTTCTGGAAATAGTTCACTTGTCATCACCAGATCACGAATAAAGTCTCAAGATGACGAACTTACTCCACCATTGGAACTTCCTACAAGAAAGTCAAAAAGAAAGTTAAAGGATCAAGAGGTTCCCATTAAAGAACCGTCTCGAACCGAACAGTCACTTCCAGCTGATGTAGAGGTTCAGGAGACAATCGAAGATCCTGATATTCCTTCCGAACCCGAACCAAGGAAGTTTATACTCAAGGATAATACTTCCGCTAATGATTGGGGGGCTGACTAGAGGGTACCCATCAAAAATTTCATTCTTAATTGAGAACTACCATCTAACAAATGGCAAGCTCGCAAATTAAAAATCATCAGCGCTAAGTATTGTATAATTAAAGAGTCATTGTACAAGCGAGGCGTCAGTGATCCTTATCTTTTATGTATTTTCGGACCCGAAGTTGAAATAGTGACAAGCGAGGTCCACGAAGGGCTTTGTGGTAGTCATTCTTCGGGGCTAGCAATGACTTTCAAAATCAAACGATTAGGATATTTCTGGCCAACTATGATTTCAGACTGCATTGATTACGCCAAACGGTGTAAAAAGTGTCAGATGCACGCTCCTCTTATTCACCAGCCATCTAAAATTCTATCACATATATCTGCTCCATACCCTTTCATGAGGTGGTCGATGGATATAATCGGTCCGATGCATCGTTCAACACGAGGCGTCCAATACTTATTAGTTCTAACGGACTATTTTTCCAAATGGATTGAAGCTGAAGCTTATATAAGCATACAAGATTCCGTAGTAAAGACATTCTTGTGGAAACACATTATTTGTCGCTATGGAGTTCTCTACGAAATAGTAACGGACAATGGTCCTCAATTCATTTCGAATGATTTTGAAGATTTCTGTTCCGCTTGGGGAATAAAACTTAGCTACTCAACGCCGAGGTATCCTCAAGGAAATGTACAAGCGGAAGCCTCCAATAAAACCATTCTCAGCAATCTTAAAAAACGCTTGAGTGCTCGAAAAGGTGGATGGTATGACGAGCTGTAACCTGTGTTGTGGGCTTACCGGACAACCCCGAGGCAGGCAACGGGCAAAACTCCATTCTCACTAGTTTATGGGATGGAAGCCGTAGTCCCGGCCGATCTAAATGTCCCAGGTTTGCGCCGAAGCGAAGCTCCACTTAACGAAGAATCGAATTCTAAATTATTAGAAGACGTTCTCGATACAATCGATGAAAGGCGAGACCAATCCCTTATTCGACTTCAGAATTATCAACAGTTGACCGCTCGATACTTTAACTCAAAGTTGAAAAACAGACCTTTAAATGTAGGAGACTTTGTTTTAAGGCGAGTGTTCGATAATACAAAAGAAGAAGGAGCTGGAAAACTCGGTATTAATTGGGAAGGCCCTTATCAAATAGCTGAAAAAATCTGAAACGGTGTATACCGTTTACAAGACCTTGATGGAAATCCCGTTCAATGGCCTTGGAACATAATCAACTTGAAAAAGTTCTATTGCTAAAGCAAACACATTCGAACTACGATTCGGCTTGATCCCATTCTGGGTACGTAGGCAGCTCGCTAATCACGAGTCCAGCTATAACATAAAAACAAAAATATCATTCCAGTCATGGAATCTTTTTTTTATAAATTCGATATTCGAGCATGAATATAAAGATACGTTGCGAACAATGTATAAATAAATATTTCTTGCTAAGCTAAGACCGGATCTAGAAGGGTCTTGAATTACGGAACAATTCCGCTCCTTGACCAGCGAGGTCAACAATGTTCATAATGCAACCTGGCATGTTTCCGTACTCCTGAAGTCCTAGTTCGATCCAATCGGAAGGATGGGCTTCGAGGCGATGAAGCTCGCGAGATATGTCGAGGCGACGCTTCTCTAGCTCCATTATCCGTCTCCTAATCATTTTCTTCTCATCTTTGAGCTCATCATGCCGAGTGATAAGCTGAAGAAAATAAAACGCTACGTTTAGCAATAACAAAAAGAAGTTAATCACTAGGATGGAAAATACCTTATTGATAAACTCCTCAACCTTAACACGATCTTGAGGCAACAATCTCTCAATTAGAACGATCGGAATCTGAATGCTAGTTCCCTTCTTTAATATTTGTAAATCTTTTGGTTCGCCAGACTCTCCTGCTTTTATAAGCTCGATGTCCGACGTCCTCGAAGGATCAACACTCATCACTTTGAACAAGTCTGAAGGATTCTCAGATGAGTGACCTCCCTTGAACATTTTTGTAGAATTGTTGTTGAAATTCAATGACAAACTACACCCATTTTATACTCGAAAAATTATTCGATTGCATTTAAGAGGATTAATTGACGATTTCCCAAATCTGAAATTACGATTTTCATGGCAAATATAATCGAGTTAATTGCTAATTATATTCCCTAGATTAAACGCATTAAATGAGATTTGAGTTAATCGGCGAATTTAAAGCAAAAAGGGGAATGTAATTAATATTGTTGGGCCTCCAGCCCAATAGTTTTTTACATAATATAAAAAAAAAAAAAAAAACTAAGAAGGAGGGGGGTTCGCAGGAGGAACTTCGTCTGATGGCGAACCATCTTCGCGTTCGCCGGGTTCGAGGCTCCTTTGGTAGATATCCCAATGCTTTTTCAGGAACCTAATGTGTTTTCGAAGACAACCGGGAATGCGGGCGATATAATCAAATCCCCTCCTGTCCCAGTTGTGAACGTCCGACTCCAAACGTTGGATCTTCCTTTCTACTCTAGCAATCTGATCCTCAAGGATACGGCGTTTCGCTCCGAGACGTTGCCTTTCAGAGCAAAGGAAAACGTATCTTTCCGTGATCTGTAAATAACAGATACATTACGAATCTATTAAATAAAACCTTGAAACTATTGGTACTAGGTTCAAACCTGCTCCATGAATTCATGGCACTCGATCTGTTCCTCCCGGGACATGGAAGGAAGAAAACAAGGAATAGCCACCCCTTGTGGAGTGAATCCATCCCCCGACGGGAACAGAGATTCGCTTGAGGGGAATCGTGGTGAGTTAGGACCAGAAGGTTCGCCTTGGTTAGAAGTCATCTTTGATCTAAAAAAGAAGAATTACAAAGTTCATTATAAAAAAAAAATCTATTGGAAAATTTCCAAAATCCAACTCTCCTTATATAGAAAAAATATGTAAGGGCACTCACTCGAATATTTATTGGAAAAAAAAGTTAAACGTCAATGTATTGATCTGACTGTTATGACCTCTCGATTCTCGAGTACATGCAAAAATAAGACCTACGAAATATAGGTTATTCAAGTATCACTTAACACCTAGTAGGCGAAATTAACTTCGAACTCGAAATTCGAAGACAATCAATAAATGGTATCACACCTTTTTATCTCTTAGGGAAAGCAAACAGTTCTCACTAGAGGTTTCCCTAATCGAACACATTTGAAGTATTGCAAAGTGTTCTTGTAAGCCGAGCTCTAACCTCGCAACCGAGAGACCGAGAAAAATTCCAATGTTTTTTCTTTAAAAAAGGCAAGTAGGTCTGATCAGCCTATCTCTCCTATAATCTTAAACCATTTCGGTTAGGAGGACTTTGCAAACACTCCAGGTAAAATCGATGGTTTCCACCAAAATTAAATATTTCTTCCAAAAGTAGTGAAACAGCCCCATGGCCAACAAAGCGAATTTCATGTCTTAAAATCAAAAGGGACAATCCCCATAAAAGGTGAATGCAATCACCATCATTCAATCATAGGCGAACCGCCTTCATCTCCTGCTTGATTTGAGACAAGAGCACTCCCGACGTCAGTGTTCTGAGTTGTGGGAACCACCTCAGGGTTAAGCGAGCTAGCATCTTGAGGAGTTTCGCTCTTCGATTCAAGACCGTCTCCCATAATCGAGGAGATGGCAGGATCACGACCAGAGAATCCTTGTTCCGAACTCATTAAAATGAGCGCGAGGAGAACCTGTTAACATCATCTCGTCCAGAGACAAACCGATATTTGGCTCAGTCAATGGAGGGGAATCGGCGAACTCAGAAACAAACTGCTGCAAATTCAAATACGGCTGAGGAGCAGTAGCCAGCTTAGCTTCAGTCTCAGCAAGCTCAGCGCCAACTGTTTCCTTTTCTTCAGCCAAGTTGACCTTTCCGTCCTCTATCTCCTTGATTAAATCGAGATTGCTCTTCATCTCATCACGCTCGGAGTTAAGTTTGTTCCAAGCTTTATCTGTAGTAATAAATTCCTGCACAGCGAGGAGAAACTTTGCCCAACTCCTTTAACCTCTTTCCGAGCATCGTGAGATATTTTACGAACATCTCGATCTTTGAGTTCGGAAAGAGATTCATTTTTGCGCTCGAGCTCCTCAGCAGCTGTTTTGACCCTGTCAAGCTCTGATCTCAGAAGCTCAATCTCGCCCTTTGCGAGGTTATGGTTAGCAAGGGCAGTCTCTAGTCTCTGCTCAGTTTCGATTAAAATCTTCCTTGTCTCCTCGCCAGATCTCTCGAGTTGTTCGATTTTCTCTTGGCTCGCCGAATCAAGGCCAGCAGTCTCCTGCACGAGCTGACTGGAAGATTGCAGTTTCTCTATCTCTCCCTCAGCAACAACAGCTTTCTTGGAAACTTTGGCAAGTTCCTCTTCGTAATAGTTTATGATGCCATTTACGTCCAAAGTTGCCTAATGAAAGAAGATGGTTTTTTAAAAAAAAAAAATTTCGAAATCAGTTGTTGAAGGGTGCAAATAGTCAAACCTGGGAGGAGTGGAATGAATGGCTGACATACATCTTCTTGATATCAGGCTTCCACCACTCAAAGGACGGGAGTTTCTTCCCAAAGCGGGTGTGGAAGCACCTAAACATGTTCCCAATCTTCTCTTTGTCTAGAATAAAGATAGTTATTTAAGGATTGAGCTTCTTGAGAAGTTGATTGATCCAAAGTAACAACACGATAATTAAAGGTTACCTGATTGGGACGAAGCTCTGGCAAGAAGTCCCGAACTCGGAGACGATCGAACCCTGGAAGTATTACCTCGGGGTCGTCTAGGGGGTAACATCCCTGAACCCAGCGGATCCTTTAAAACGATTCCTGAATCAGGATTTATATCCTGAGTTTCAGCAGATTCAGGAATAGGCATATTCGAAGAAGTGTTTCTGCCCTTCCTTGTCTTTTTGGGGCGCCCCTGGGGCAGGGGTTCAAGGTCTTCGGCCTTCCTCTTTTTCATGAGAGAAGAAACACATGTAAGGCGTTCTTCGTCAGCGGTGGCAGCGACCACGTTGTCTGCTGCTGGGATGGGGGAGGAAGCGCTGTTCACAGCGACCGCCATTGACTTTGAACCTTCAAGAGATCCATCGTCAACAAGGAGAGTTTTCCGATAGACTTTTTCGTCCTCGGTGGAAGTTGCGTTTTTCTTGTTTTTCCCGATTAGGGAAATCTGATCTTTAATCTTTTTGTTTGCCTCTTTGATCTTTCTCCTGTCTCGGGCATTCAGACTCGAGAGATCAATCTCAGCAGGAGGAGGGTCGACGGGGCGAGTAAGTGTCATTCTGACAGAAAACCCGGCGCCGTGAATTCTTTCCAGAGTAAAAGAATTCCAATTAACTGGCCTCTCCAAGACGGCCTTGTAAAATTTGAGAAAATCGACGGATGGAACTGGTCGAATCTGAGGACCTGCGAGAAAACAAAGAAATGTTGAAACGCAGTTTGAAATAACAAAGGGAGCTTATTCAGTTAAGTCCCAATTTCTACCCAAATTCGATGACCAGTGACTTCGAGGGAGTTCGGAAGAACTTTGAATAGAAAAATTATTTATGCGGAAGAAGAACCAAAACTTCCTCCAGGCGGTGTCCTTTAAAGAAAGGCCATCAATGAGATTCCGATCCACGTTTGGATAAAGGGTATAATATCCAGAAGTTCGGGATTCGCGAGCTTGGAAAAGTTCCAGGAGTTCGCAAAGTCCCAATGAGTAGCCCGCCTCCGCCGCAACAGTGAGGGTACACAAAAGATACCGGAGCATGTTGGGTGACATCTGGGAGAAAGCAATTCCCAGATGATTGAGGTAGACAAGAAGCACCTCAGGAAGGGGAAGGAATATGCCGCACCCTTTGAAATATATTTCATAGGCACAACAGTAACCTTCTCGCCCCGACTCCGGAGACTCGAAGGGCTCCGGGACTACCATCTCTACCTCAGGGGGGATGAGACATAATCTACGAAGATTGTTGAGAGAATCGATAGTTGATTCACTCTGGGGGTGAAGATCAAACCCATCTCCGGTTTGAATCTGGGATTCGGACCCTTCACCCATGAGAGCTTCAAGATTGCCAGCCTCGTATTCGCGGAATTCGGAAGAAAGGTTCGACATTTTACGAAAGGGATTTTTTACCAGAAAGAAAACAATGACTTCTGTAATAAGGATGAAGGTTTTCTAGGTAAAGAAGATAAGATGGAAAAGTAATATTACCTCTTAGAGCCCTAAAGTATGATGAAAGACCGCCTCAAGAATATTGGGAAGTGGGACGGTTTTGCCCGTTGTATTAATATAAAATTAAGAAATTAATGATGACGGTTGTCAGAGAAATCAAATCATCTGATTATCCGAGATCAGCGTAATAGCGAAAAACATGGAATAATTTTGGAATGTTAAAGATCTCGAGTCATTAATTACAGTTTACTTAAGTCTTCCAAGCCGAGCACACAGCTCGCAAGACTTGGGGGGCTAAATGTTGGGGTCGGATCCCACACATCTTCGGTAGGATCCACTTGGATCTGTCCACGTCATTATTACATAATAATCCTCTTGGATCTCTAGATGTTTCATTGCGAGAATCGAGCTCGACCTGTCGGAAGTTCGATTCAGTTTATTAAAGAGCTCGATCTTTACCAGTACGGAGTTCGCTCTTATTCAACATACAGTTCGCATAAAGGAAGGCCGAAGCGAGGATAATATTGTTCGAGGTTAGCGGCAGCGTCAAGACGCAGGAGTTCGGAGTCAACAAGAAAGAGTTCGGAAGATCCACGCGAAGCCCAAGATAGTTCAAATTCAAGCCATTTCGGTCAAATTGTAACCTACATGATTAATGCGGATCAATGCAATTATGAGCAGGAAGTGACCGCATTGATCATGTTTTCTCTATAAAAACAACCTCAAACGCATGTGTCTGAGGAAGAACGACTTTTTCCTCTTACGATCAAGCAATAAAACATACTTTTTCTTTTACAATTTTGCAAGGCTTTTTACTATTTTATTCTTTCCAAAGTTCATTCGCTTTACTTAGTTTCTTGGTTACTTCCCTTTTCAATTCCATATTTTCATCTGTTCATTTTAGAGTTTTTCTCCACAAATATACTTAAAGACAATCGAGTCTGAATCCTACATCCACAACTGGTAGGGACGGTCTGGGCGTTACAGAGATGTACTCGAATTCATATACAATGGCTTAGGGGAACTCGTTAATTGCTTGTGTGGTCTCTTGTTTTATCTTCTTTCTTTATCTCTTTCAAATTCATGGGTGAATCCGTGTGAGTGTTCAGTGATCGATGCAGTGACTGGACATAACACAAAGACATTAATGTGTGTAACAAAATACATATCTTTTAGGAATTTACCAGAAAACTCTGTTGGATAATTCCAACTAACTTGAGGAGCAAGTTATCTCCTTCTAGAAGATGCTAGAAGAGATACAAGAAAGGAAATCAAAGAAAGGAAATCAAGAAAAAAGGAAATATAAATAATGTCAAGTTGGACAAGATTTGTAAGTCTTCCTATTCACAATAGGCAAAGAAGAAGCTTGGTTCTAGTATAAATAAGAGCCTTATGAAGAACAAGAGAAGTCGCTGAGCGGGGAGCTCGAGACTCAGCGTGTAGCTCAGAGGGAGCTCATGAGAGTAGCTCAGCAGGGGAGCTCGAGTAGCTCATAGGAGAGAGCTCAAGAAGAGAGTCGAGACACATGAGAGTCGAGAAGGACCTCATGAGAGTCTAGAGAAAGAGACTCATATAGACTTAGGGGTAGATAAGTTCTATATAAGAGAGGCTTATGGAGAGTTGTTCCATAAGACCTTAGAGAGGCTATGGAGTGTTGTTCCATAAGACCTAGAGAGATTTAGTTTTGTGAAGTTTCTAAATCAATAAAGAAAGGTTGTTCTTTAATCTCTTGTTCTCGTGTTGCTGAATCACTTTCTGAATCATTCAGTAACTTAGTCAGGGTAACGTGTTCCTGATTTGAATTGGGCATCAGAGCAGTCAAGATAAGGTGATCTTGATTTGAATTGGTATCAGAGCAAGTCGGCTCTGGACTTTAATTGGTATCAGAGCAAGTAGGCTCTGAACTTTATTTGGTATCAGAGCAAGTCGGCTTGAACTTTAATTGGTATCAGAGATTCTGGTTTGAAGACTCTGGACGAAACATGTGGTATGGCAGAGCTTAGTTTGAAGACTCTTTACAAGTTCAGAACTTAGTTTGAAGACTCTGGACAAGATCTGTGGGGTGTCATAGCTTAGTGTGAAGACTCTAGACAAGACCGGTGGTATGTGAGTCGTAAGCAAGTATGGCAGGCGAGAATCCACAACCACGAACCAAGATCATTCATATTGTAGCATCCCTGGAGCAATTTCTTGACCTAAAGCGGATGGGGTTTGAAGACATTGTTGGGAGGTTACTGGAGTATGAAGAACGTGTTGGGTAAGAAACCCAAAGTGAAGACCAAGGACCTCAAACCCTAAGCGTGGAGGCTACGGGAAGTTTCGAGCAGGAAACAGAGGCGGTTATAACAAGAAGACGTTATAACAAAGGAAGCTATAACTATGATGGTTATGGTAGAGGAAGTTTTGGAGGTGACAGTTCCGGCAGAGGCATGGGACAAGGAAGGTCCGTCTTGCAATCTCAAGGAGGAGTAACCGGTGATCACAACCAAAAGAAGAATTTATCCAAAGTGATGCGACAAGGCTGGTCAGCATCAAGTTATTTGGAGATAAGCAAGCCGACATGTCTGCAAGCTAAAGGACTTGCTGAGGGACGTGCTGAAGGACTCGTTGAAGAACTCACTGAAGGATTGACTGAATGAATTGCTAATGAATCTATAAGGACATGGCATGCTCGGTTAGGTTATATAAGTTTGGAGTTAATTCAAGGAGAAGATGCTGGAGAAGGACATGAAGAAGATGATGTCATGGAGGATATCACTCAAGACAACCACGAGGATAAGGTTGGTGAAGTAGTTCAAGGAGTACCACAGCTGACAAGGTCTGGTCGACAAGTGAATCAGCCGCAGTACCTTGAAGACTATGTTATGAAGTCCGAAACAGTTTCTGGTTTGTTCCAGAAAAGTTATGATGAAAGTGAGAGACGAGCCAAGATCAACAAGAACAGGTGGTTCCTTGTTGACATATCGATTGAAGTTTTCGATCGGTACAAAAGGTTTGAAGAGTGTGTAGAGAAGCAAGCCGGCTTGTCCATCAAAACCTTTCGCACCGATAGAGGAGGAGAGTTTATGGAGCTCAATCGATTACGCATAGAGGAGGAGTCTATAGGCGTCTAATGAAGATTCGATGTTGCATAGAGGAGGAGTCTCTAAGCATCTAATGGAGTTCAATCGATTACGCATAGAGGAGGAGTCTCTAGGCGTCTAATGAAGATTCGATGTTGCATAGAGGAGGAGTCTCTAGGCATTTAATGAAGATTTGATGTTGCATAGAGGAGGAGTCTCTAGGCATTTAATGAAGATTCGATGATGTTGCATGGAAGAGGAGTCTCTAGGCACCTAATGAAGATTCTGAATGATATGTGGGGAGGAGCCGTACGTCATTCAGAGATCACATGACCACATCTCAAGATGGTAGATGATTGGTCAAGAAGTGTGATCACGAGGCCGCATCTCAAGAAGGTAGATGATTGGTCAATATTGGAGCCAAGCCGGGTTCTAATGATGCTAGAATCAAGTCGGATTCTAGAGATGCTAGAACCAAGTCGGGGTCTAGAGAATATCAAACCAAGTCGGGTTATGATATTTGGGTACTCTGTACTAATCGTTGAAGTAGTACAGGAAGTAATACAGGAGGTTATTCAAGGAGCAGAACAAGAGGTATATGCTCAAGGAATACTTGCCGTTGAAGTAATACTTGAAGTAGTACACGAAGTTATTCCAAGGAGCAGAACAAGAGGAATATGCTCAAGGAATACTTGTGGATACTAAGAAGGAGTCAAATTTGAAGATCTCAAAAGCTGAGGAGGAGCAAGAGATCGTATCTCAACAAAGGTTGAAGTTGAGAATGTTCAAGGTGTGGAGCAGAAGGCGGACACACTTACTAAGGCATTGGCGAGAATCAAGCTTCCTGGAATTCAAGTTGGAATTAAGGGGGAGAATGTTGGATAATTCCAACTAGCTTGAGGAGCAAGTTATCTCCTTCTAGAAGATGCTAGAAGAGATACAAGAAAGGAAATCAAAGAAAGGAAATCAAGAAAAAAAGAAATACAAATAATGTCAAGTTGGGCAAGATTTGTAAGTTTTCCTATTCACAATAGGCAAAGAAGAAGCTTGGTTCTAGTATAAATAAGAGCCTTATGAAGAACAAGAGAAGTAGCTCAGCGGGGAGCTCGAGACTCATCGTGTAGCTCAGAGGGAGCTCATGAGAGTAGCTCAGCAGGGGAGCTCGAGTAGCTCATAGGAGAGAGCTCAAGAAGAGAGTCGAGACACATGAGAGTCGAGAAGGACCTCATGAGAGTCTAGAGAAAGAGACTCATATAGACTTAGGGGTAGATAAGTTCTATATAAGAGAGGCTTATGGAGAGTTGTTCCATAAGACCTAAGAGAGGCTATGGAGTGTTGTTCCATAAGACCTAGAGAGATTTAGTTTTGTGAAGTTTCTAAATCAATAAAGAAAGGTTGTTCTTTAATCTCTTGTTCTCGTGTTGCTGAATCACTTTCTGAATCATTCAGTAACTTAGTCAGGGTAACGTGTTCCTGATTTGAATTGGGCATCAGAGCAGTCAAGATAAGGTGATCTTGATTTGAATTGATATCAGAACAAGTCGGCTCTGAACTTTAATTGATATTAAAGCAAGTAGGCTCTGAACTTTATTTGGTATCAGAGCAAGTCGGCTTGAACTTTAAACTCCCAGAAGAACGAGGTAAATTTTCTCCAAGAGTAAACTCGTAGGTCTAGGTTAGAAAATAAAAAAAAAAACTGATAATGGAAAAAGGGTACCGAAGATGAATAGTTTTATGGGTTGTTGACAAAATTAAATAACTCTTTCACTTGTTTTATAATGAAAATGTCCTCTGATACTGTTTATAGTGTAACAAAAAATATGCTCGCGTGCACCTATTCATAATATGATGATGCATCAACAAAGCTTGTTGAAAATT